GGGTGAGTCATGAGAGTTGGCGTGTTAGTCTACCGCTTGGCAGGAGCTGGGCACAGGTGCGTCACACAATGCACTTTGACTGTGTTGGCGGACCGGTTGTCTGGCTTTCGTTCGAGTCCTGCGCTGGGCGCGCTGTGCGCCTCATCACATGCATTCTGCGTGGGTGGACCGGCGGTCTCGCGTGGGAACGCTTCGTTAGGGTGGCGTGCACTTTGAGTTAAGCTGGACCCTAATACTTTTTTGCTGCATTTTGTGGCAAAAACTTCACAGTTCAGCAAAAAAATGATTTTTACTCCCCGTTTCTGGAAATAAATGCGCTTCCTTAAAATTGGCTTCACCTGCACTTTAGCAACTTCGGACAACATTTTGCGGGTCTGGAAGGTATGTGTTTTAAACTTACCTATTTTGGAGTTCTTCCATAGCACAATGCGCATCAATAAAAGTTTCTTTCTGTCATACTTAATAGCAAAAGAAATTCTCTCGATATTAGACAACTCCCAATCTCACCAAATTAATGCCTATTTTACCCTAACTAAACATAACTAAAAGGGTGATTTATCTAACTAAAAGTCTTTCCCAGGATTAAATCCACTGAGTGGATCAAAATAATGTGACCAAGTGTATACTAAACTACCAAGTCAAATTTCAGCATGACTGTTGCACCATTTCGTAGACATATTGTACCTGTGGTTTTGATTAAAAATCATATGTTATCTTCTGATTCTCGATCAGACAACGGTTGGCACTGCGACAGGAGCATCGGCTGCCGTGTGTCTCCGTCGTTATTTTTTTGTTGAAAAAATTGATTCGCCAGGTCGAAAGTCAGACATACTGCGATCACTGGTCGTGATGTTATGTTTCCATGCCTTAGGCGATCTTGATGGGAGATTATGTTTCTGGAGGGTTGGGGACTAACAGACCGTCCCGAGCTGGAGTCGCTCAGTGATTCAGGGTGAAGAGGGGCAGGTAATAAATCGCAAATATGGCTACTCGCAGGGGCCGATGTGTGAAGTGTTATTGCCCTCTAATTCGATAGAGGAACAAGAGCAGAGTAGATCGGAGTGGGGCAGAGTTTATGAATTGTTTGCAGTTGGTAGCCAGTCATACTCCCATCCGAGGTCGTAAAAGTCCAATGATTTGTGAGGGGTGCCTTACCACTAGCTAAACTTTTGCCTCGCCACGGCTTTTACAATAACCGGAGCGTCTTCTTCTTGTATTTTCCGAATGTTGCTGAAAAGGAATAAAATCAACCTAAAAGTAACCTATTTAAATAGTCGAACATTGAGGCTAGTATATGTGGAATCTTGTAATCTCTCAATGGTTGTTTTGCTTTTTGTTGTTTCAGCAACCACGTTTATGGAACGCTGGAAACGTTACCAAAACGTGCTTGCCTACGAGTGGAATGTGCAGAACTTGGAGCCCGTTGACGAACCACCTCGCCCCGAGTTCTTGGCCCTCCTTGGTAAAAAGGGTTACAGGTCTGAGGTCAATCCAATTACTGGGGTAGGCGATTTCTCCTAATGTAACAGGGTTTTTCTTAACCCCCAGCAAAAGTTGTCCTCGCCAGTACTTGGTTTCTAACCATTCCTCATGCCCCCCTCCCCCCTGCCCACAGCGTGAAGAACCAGTCGTCCCCTTCTGGAGTCGTAAAGTACCCATCGTCCTCATCACCTACGCTTCAGTCCTGTTTGGGGTAGGTTTTTTGACCGGCTTTATGATGTCTTTTGTTTATGAATTATGTTTATTACTTTTTTTACATTATTATAATATCTGTATAATATAATATTGTATATAATGACAGTTCGACGGCCTATTTCCATTATGTCTACCGCATGCTTCAGCAAGCTGAATGCAAACGCGGGTACGTGTACACGAATTATGTTTGAGCGATCGTAGACTTGCCCAGCATCTACCGCGCTCTCTCCTCCTTCAGCCACCGCGACTAAACATAGTCAAGAAAACAGGAAGCGAGATTGGGCGCGAGACCACGCCTCCTATCCGTGCCACCGCACCTGGCTAGGATCTCAGCTAGGTGGG